GGATGCCCATCTGTCATTGATGACGATTCGCTAAAGTCCATGATCGAAGATGATCCGCATCAAACCCTGTCTACCTGCAAATGGGTGTCCAGAACAGGGTTCATCTTGAAGAGTTCGATCTCCATGTGAAAACTTCTCAAACCATTCGTATGCCGTGGATTTGCTTAAACAGGCATCACAGGCAACACCTTGATGCGCCGGACCGTGTCGTTCGCGTTACATCCCTTAACGAACTGGAGAAATAAGCTCGTCGAGCCGCATCTTTCAATCGAGCGGGAAAACTTTTACTGAAAGCAATACAAGGCAGATATACCAAATTTTACAGAGCTTTTCAGCCTCTTTTTTTTTCATATATAACATAGCGACAGAACAAGCATGGGCGGCGCGGCATGAACCCCTCAAACTTAACCCACTAAAAGTTCGGATAATTTTTCCCAGACCTAATAACTCTCATTTCCATGAAAAACAGAAAATTCCTGATTTTGACCCAACTTGTGCTTACCTTCGTTGATTTGTTAATAGGAATTTTGAGAGTAAAGCATGGATGTTCCAATCTGACCCACGACTCAATTGAGTCTCGAATCACCAAGGTATTGAGGGATTTTATCATTTTTTCAGATTTTTTTTGCCAAAGAATGGGGCTTGGTTCGAACGTCATGAGAACGGTATGCATTAGAAGAGTGGTTCCGATGAAAAGATATGCAGATTCGATTCGTTTACCTTATTTTTCCTCCTGAAGTTGCAATAGAATAAATATTGTACGGCGGAGCCAGTATAGCATCGGAACTATCCAATCCCAAATTCTTCCTTTTCCTATCAACGTCCGAATTTCCGAAATTCCACGCTCATGACGAATTCCTAACAAATTCCCTATCATTGGAAAAAACTTTTCTCTCCTTAGATTCGATTTACGATGCATGAGGATACTTGCAGGAGTTTCGCCAAGCTAATGGAGGAAGGATGGGTAAATCTGTTTCCCGATATTGCTCACTTTTGAATGCGTGTCATTGGAACGCTGCACTAGTCACTATCTCCTTTTCCCACCTATAAGCCTAATGTTGTTCCACTGGCACAGAATTCAACAGCTTCCTAGCTTAATTCTTTCTGAAAATTCTGCTTTTTTTTATAAGCTATGATAAATTCTAAACTAAGGCAAGGTTTTCGCGTTCGATATTGATAAAACTTCATTACTCGCGCTGCGTCGCGATCTTTTAAATTCACACCTTCAATAACATGGTCCATGTGAAATTGTTCATAATGCCCTTGTCAGTAATGTCACCAAACTACCTACCTTGTCACCAAACTACCGTGCTAGTTCAGCTTGCGTCTTTTCGTCCTGATGGGCATTCCGAACTGCAATCTTTTCGACGAAGCTTTTTTTCCTTTTCCGCATGCTCAACTCGGAATAAGCAGAACTGATACCTATAGGCTCAATTTATAGTTCAGGTAAAGTTCTTTCACTTTCGCCTAAAAAAGGCAGGCTAATTTGCCTCTTTTCAGCATCTGCAGCCTATACTTACACCCTCATTTTTCTAGGAAAGGGCGATCTTGCCTTCCCATGCCCTCGGTTCACGGAAGAGTCAAGTGGGAACTCGTGACCTTGGTTCTACGAAGCAGAAAGGTGGGGCTGGGGGAAGGGCTGTAGGAGACATTCCGAGAAGGAAAAATAANATTAAGAAAGACTTTTAAGACGAAAAAAAATATTCGATACTATTTAAGATTTGATTCCGTTCCAAAAGCGCAAGCTATAACTATTTTGAAGTAATGAGCGCGACGCAGCGCTAGAAAATTTAAGTGTGCTTCAATAACATGGTCCATGTGAAATTGCTCATAATGCTCTTGTCAGTAATGTCCCTTTAGATAAATCCTTGCACTCGAAACTACATCATTTCGTGCAGACATTCGCCTCTTAGCCCATAAACAGGAATCTCTCAAAACTAAGAGACAAACATTATTTTCATAAGAATTGTCTGCTGGAAAATGGATTGGCTCTATTTTCCGTAATATTGTACTGCCTGCACTAACGTGCTTTCTGGGCTCTCTCGCTTAGACTCTCTACTGCACTGAAAGAAAGTATCTGGATTTTCTCATTTTTAGCAGTGAAAAGAGAACATGAAGTTTCTATTTGTATGTAAAACAGCAGCGGGTCATTCAGTGGGTCAGTTTGCGCTGGTGGCGTAAAACAGTATTTGGAATTGTACAGAGGACATGGAAAGGGGATACATGGCACCTAGCAAATCTCAAATGCCCATGGTTTCACCGGTAACTCATCGTTAGTTTCTTCTGAAAAGACCATTCCTTCTCAGAAACATGACATAGATTAATGTGCTCTATAAGTTCGAGGTGTTTCTTATTTTTTATCGGGATAGGAATATCTATCGCGGGCAATCATTACCGATGCATTATGTTTTATAGTACCTCATCGACTTCTAGTGGTCTTGAGAGATGGACAGGGGACAGATTTTCGGTATTTGTAACTTTGGAGTCTAATAGAGAGGAGATTTTGTCAATGTGGTGCTTCTAATTTCGAGAGGAGTGTCCCTAGGTTCGTGTAGACGTGTTCCTAATCTCAATATGATTTGTTCTAAGTTAGTAATGTCTGTGGGGTGAAGGGAGGAAACCAATCGATGAATTATAATTGTTTCATTGGAGGACACACGACTTACTGTCAAAAAGGAAAAAAAAACCGCTATCTTAATTACAGAAGCTGTTCAAGTGAAACTTTGCATGATGATATGCAAAAATTTTAAGGATTTTTTGCATCACTTGTTCATTTTCAACATGACCATTGCTCCATTTTTGAGTAAAAAACATTTGTCTTTCATTTACATTGATTTTTGGTCCAGTTTCTCAAAGAGCCCCACAGATCACACTCTTTCTTTCGATGTGAATACTTGTCGACTAAACACTTAAAGGAAAGTTATTATGATGACGCCCATCCATCGGAAGGAGAATAAATGTTGTATCATGCATAGAGGTGCTGGAAAACCGGATTCAATTGCAAGTACTTCTAAGGACACTCTGTTAACGCACTCTATGTTAACTGAGTCCGTGAAAGTCCACAAAGTGGAACCAAGTCGTCCACAAATAGGAACAACATGAAAATTCATATATAGTACTTAAAGTACCTATTGTTGGAAAAGTATGCAATCAATACTCAATTTTAGAGTAGGGATATAAAACTATGATACGCGACCTCTTATTGAAACCAAACATGCCGTTCTCCAGTGACTCCAATGATCATAGTACAAATTCCACGCAAAAAATCCCCTTATGCCGTTCACTAACTGGCGCTTTTACCCTATACAGAATCTTGAGCATCCCCCAGAGTATTCATTGACTCGCTCATGAGCCTATAATTACAGCACAACTTTTATTGCTTTGCGAGACGCAAAGATGTCAATGAAATGGTCAAAATCCACTTGCTTTGCCGTTTGATTTTCAGTGGAGAGCATTGCATGGCTGCAGAGTCTTTCTTGCCCCATCGTAGATCGGACGTACTACAGTCGACTCCACTTAATGGAAAACTCACGGAACCAGCGAACTTTATTCTATAGTCCTGAGTATTCCAATAACCGAAACAACAGTACTGTACTTCTCCATACTTCAGGCAGCTTTTAAAATGTATATCCTAAAGTATAGTACCCGTATTTGCGCATTAGGCACTTTTAAGAATGCGTTTTACGCGTTACAATAGCAAAGGTACCTTGTTTTTCATGATTTTTGAAACTTGCAGCTGAGAGATCCCAAACTACCGTGCTAGTTCAGCTTGCGTCTTTTCGTCCTGATAGGCATTCCGAACTGCAATCTTTTCGACGAAGCTTTTTTTCCTTTTCCGCATGCTCAACTCGGAATAAGCAGAACTGATACCTATAGGCTCAATTTATAGTTCAGGTAAAGTTCTTTCACTTTCGCCTAAAAAAGGCAGGCTAATTTGCCTCTTTTCAGCATCTGCAGCCTATACTTACACCCTCATTTTTCTAGGAAAGGGCGATCTTGCCTTCCCATGCCCTCGGTTCACGGAAGAGTCAAGTGGGAACTCGTGACCTTGGTTCTACGAAGCAGAAAGGTGGGGCTGGGGGAAGGGCTGTAGGAGACATTCCGAGAAGGAAAAATAAGCATTTTGTTTTAAAGTGAACTGAAAAGAAGTATTCCATGTTTCAGGAATGTTTATTCCCTTCAGCGGATTATTCTAATAACCGTATTCCTTCATGCGATGGTTTTAATATTGTACCTTTTGGTGGAAAAATCGGGACCGTACAATGATGAGCGGAGTATTCTATTAAATAGTATTCGATTAAATGGAGTCGACTGTATATGTCTTGATGAGCTTAAGCTTGCTGAAGCTTCTTTCACATGAAGCAATAGACGTGAGAAGAGTAAGGAAAATCCTGAGGGCTATTTCCAAGTGAGATACGCCAAGAGAGCGTACCTCACTTACAAGTGCGTATCCCACTTGGAGGTAGCTCCAAGTGGGATACGCACTGGCCAGGCGTTCCTGATGGATTAAATTCAGAAGATCCAGCAGTGAGACATGACGAAAGTTTCAATCCAGACATGGTCTGTGATGTTGAAAGCTTTCCATCTCTGAGTGAAGCTCAGCTGCATTCAAAATCGTTTGGATATGCCAAAGCCAAATCTTTAGTGTGCTTCTGAAGCTCTTCAATCAGCCAGTTGGCCATGGCACTACCACTCAGGAAACAGAAATCATCACAAACAGACTGAAGACTCTGAAAGCGCCATTCAAGCTCACCCAATAAATGACCTATGGCTTCCAGCGTCTGCATTCTGAACAACTCTTCTTGGGAGAGGCCACCAACTTCTTTGATGGATTCTTCACTGGGTATTCTTTTCTTTCAATGGCAACTCCTGGCGGGAAATGTGTCTTCAACGCCTAACTTCAGGCATTGTTTCCTTGCTTTCATCAGAGCGTCACAGATTCTCGTTTTGACTGCAAGGTGTTTTTAAGTCCCAAGATATGAGAAACCGAATCTATTATTCTATCCGGCTATTGTACATGCAGGGGATTGCAGCAGTCTATTGACACGATCCACCTGTGAGTATCCGACTCCAAATACAGATACTGGCGATACAGCTTCAGAGAGACCTTCTGGGTCACTTGAGTCGTTGGATATCTTATCTACTGCCCTGCGGACTCCTTCAAATTGTTGCTTTAAAGTAGAAACAGCATCAGCTCTTCACAGTTACAGAGTAGCATGATTTCAAAACCTCCCGCCTGTACGTTGAACCGGAAAGATGAAAAGATGTTCAACTACTCCGTAAAACTTCTACATTTAATAGTTGGTATTTTCCGCATGGAATCCAGTTCGATTCAAAGTGTAAATCAAGGAGTAAATCGAGCAAGGGATTTTTTTTCCTCCAAAATCCTTGGTGCAGAAGGAATTAATGGTTCGAAAGCATTGGGGTCGACATCTCCATCCACATCCATGTCTAGACCAACAGTAGTTTCTCTTATAACAAGGGCTGCGCCTCTTATCGCGATATCGTAATATCGTTAGATAAATACCTTATCAGCGATATGTGTGCATATCGCGATATTTTTCTTTGTGGAAATATATCTTCTTCCGCTGTCGCAGAAAAAAGAAAATAGATCACACGGACTGCGCCATTCGTTTATATTTAAAACAATAGGACAATGAAGGAACTGCCTGTCAAACTTGACAAAAACTGATAAGATGAGGGAGGGAGGTAGGGGATAATCCTCAGGCTGCAATCATCCCTTGATGCTTTCTTTTCCTGGGAAACTTCCTTGAGATGTTTGGTGAAAGTAATCACTGGGTTTCAGTTAGCTCTTGAGCATCAGCGAGTCAAGGCCAATTTGTATGGGTGCTGTGAGAAACTTCTGAGGGCAGTGCGTACAGAAAGGACCAGCAAGTCTGAGTGGAAGCTCATACCTCGCCCTCATGGAAAGTCTGTGGTGTGGCATGCATTTAAGTTTTATTCTCATGATGGATACAATATGCACCCAGATTTTTGGTGCACTAACTTGGCAATTGTTTCCTCAAGCAAGAAACATTTCCAAGAGCTTTATTATTTTGCAATTCCAATTACTCCAAAGACACTGAGATTTCAATGGAAATTTAGTTTTCTGACTTTTGCATTTCTAGATTTTTACGAAAGCATTGATATATTCCATGGGAACAACTTGCTTTAGTTTCAGTCAATTTTGGCATTATACACTCCCACCTCTCAGATAAACCAGCGATTTCTCATAGTTTATGAAACAATTCATGGCACACATCCTCTTCGTTCGTTTCGGAATTCTCACAAAATTTTATTTGACATCATATCTTCACATGACAGGTTTTCATCCCTGTTTCATCAGTTTCGGGAAAGGAAAGATTCCCACTGAGAGAATGAAGAGCAATACAGAGAAGCTGGTGCTAATTATCCCCACAAACATTGTTGGCTAATCATGATATAAAAAATCACTCACATTGAGAATCCAAGCTCCAAGAATATAATCTTCATCACAAAAATCACCCCAATATGCCACATTTTCAATCTCTTAGTGCAACGTATCCCAGTCATCAGAATGTGATACAGTCGTGCCAATGAATACCAAAAAATGCAGATGGGGAGTGCGTCAGACACACAGAAACAGACGGAGACCAAGAAGACCCACCATCATCACCAGCGCAAGGGAATCTCAGAAAATGCATTCAATTAGCACCATCGAATAGATCATTAGGGCATACCACCAGCACCATGAAATCCACCAGGAGGCATGCCATGAGCACCAGTAAAAAGGCCATTACCATCTAATATATATAGACGATCGTGACTGACTGACTGACTGACGTTAATTCTAACCATGTTCTAGAAAGGTTAGAAATCTGAAACTTGGTATACATGCACCTATTGGGATGCAGAGTTCAGGAAAAATCCGACTTTGTAGGTACATGCCCTGGGGGTACAAATTTTGGGGGGAAACATTTTTCTTAAATATATTTTGTGACAGATGAGGATGGCCTTCAGAAAATCAACTGGTTATCCTGGGTTCGGTGGTGTAGTGGTAGCATATCAGAGTGGCACTCAGAGGGTCAAGGTTCAATTCATTGGCGTTCTTTTGGCTTTTTTTTGCCTTCCATGTCCCGTTACTCATTCCCCCCCATAACATTATTTTTGCTTGAGTAAAACGGAGAGACATGGAAAGCGTGAACCTGGCATGGACGGGCCTACCGAGACGATGAGTTCAGGAAAATTTAAAATGACAGATCTCTGCCCTGGGGGCATATTTTTGGGGGTCGACGTTTTCAAGTAATTATTTTTTTGTTCTGGCGTATTGAGCTAGTGTGGAAAGTTGAAACTTGGTACAGAACTACCTATTGGGATGCTGCATGTAGAAAAATTCAGACTTTGGAAGCAGATGTCCTGGGGGCACATATTTCAAAGGGAGATGTTTTCATATAATTTTTTTTCATCAGTTAAACTGATCAACATGGAAAGCTCGAACTTTGCATGAATGTGACTACTGAGACAAGGAGTTAAAAAAAATGTTGAGTCTCGATACATCGCCTGGGGGAATTTTCCTGAGGGACGAGGTTTAAAAAAAAAATTGGTCGTGGTGAATTGGACAGAAATGGAAAGTTGAAACTTGGCACACATATAAGTGACATGATATTATTGAGTTCAGGGAGTATTCAACTTTCGTCATCCCCTCTGGGCATAAATTTTGGCTGGGTGGGCTTTTCCAAACCTTGTTTTTCATCAGCGAAATGGCAAACGTATACGATTGAAACTTTGTGGGCATATACTTCACTGAGGATTGATTTCGGTATTTAAAAAAATGGTAGTTTTCGGTTAAAACGCCTGAGGGCATATTTTGAAAAAGGCGTTTTTTCCCGAATTTTCTGATCTAGCAAAATGGAGTGCGCTAAAAAGTTTAAACTTGGCAAATAAGTACCTAATGGATAGCTGAACAAAGGAAAAAATCTACTTTTATTATATATACTGTATAGACGATCGTGAGTAGCTGACTGACATAAGTAGCTATTGGCATGCTGAGTTTGTTTGCCCTTCGGGCAAACAAACTCACTAGTCCCACCATAACCAGTGAATATGCCATTGGGCGTGCCACCAGTACCATGCAATCCACCAGGAGGCATGCCACCAGCACCATGCGATCCACCAGGAGGTTAGTGATGCATTCATTATTTTATTTTCAAAGTGGCAAAAAACGTATTAAAAGTATGTGCCTGTCAAAATGTGTGCCGAGAGAGAACTAACTGATATTTCCATCAGAATCAGTGCCGCAACCAGCCCTAAACTTTGGGGGGGGGGGGTCGAAATTCACATCACCTGTCTTTCAAACGTCTCCCAATACAAGGTGTTATCAAATCATCTGGAGAGATATACACAACAAAAACGCGAAGCGGCGCGAACACGTGAACAAAGAAAATGAAATGAAATGTTCTCTCTTGCATTGGATGAGAAAAGATTCCGGAAAATGCGCCTTTAGCAAAAAAAATGTGCTCTTAGGGCTTTAACCTAAAAATTAACATTTTAACTGAAATCAATATTGCAAGAACTACGTGTCTACCAAGTTTCAATTTTATACGTTTGCCCTTTTTGATGGTTCAAAAATATATTTCGAAAAGTCGACGCAGTCAATAGCTGTGCCATAAAATTATGCATCACAAAACTTGAATTTTTTTCTGAACTCACCATCAACTCAGTTATTGGAGCCACAAGTTTCAGTTTTCTATCTCTGCCCAATTCGGTAAGACAAAAAAATATTTGAAAACGTCACCCCCCAAAAATATGCCCCCAGGAAATGCATCTGAAAATTGACATTTTTCCTGAACTGTGTGTCTCAGTAGGTACGTCCATGCCAAGTTTCAGCTTTCCATGTTTCTCCATTTGACTGAAGCAAATATATATCATTGAAAACATCTCCCCCCAAAATGGGTGCCTCAAGGGCACGTATCTCCAAAGTCTGATTTTTTCTCAACTCTGCATCCCAATAGCTACTTGTGTACCAATTTTCAGATTTCTAGCTACTCTAGAACATGGTTAGAATTAGCATCAGTCAGTCAGTAACCATCATTATATATAGTAGCGAGATTGTTTGCCTGAAGAGCAAACAAACTCGCTATATTCGCGCCTTCAGCGCTCCATTCCCAGGATAGTGATACATATAATAATTTATTTTAGAAGTGTCAAAAGTGCATTAAAAATATGTGCCCTTTGGAATGTTTATCGAGGGAGGACATACGGATATTTTCATCGGAATAATTACACCCATTGTTCCTTGTGTCCCTAACTTCATCTCTCTTCACAATCTGCCCTGAGGGGGGAATACTTGAAAAGTAAGACTTGTACTCAGCAATCGAGCAGGTACTTTGCTCCAAATTTCAACTTTTTTTGTTCTCTACTTCATTGAATCAGAAAAGTTTCCAAAAAATCCACATTTTGCAAAAAATATGCCCTTAAGGTGTATTCCTAAAAATTAACATTTTTACTGAAATAAGTTCTCCCAGAACTGCGTGCACTCCAAGTTTCAGCCTCATCCGTTTGCTCTTATTGCTGGTACAAAAATATCTTTGGAGAAGCCAACACAGCCAAAAGCTGTGCCATTGGGGTATGCACCATGAAACCTGCATTCTTTCTGAACTCACCATCACCTTAGTTATTGCTGTGCCTAGATTCACATTTTTATCTCGGTACAATTCAGTGGGTAAAAAAATTTTTTTTTATACGTCACCACCCCCCCAAAAAAAAAAAGCCCTCAGGGCATGTATCCAATACTGAACATTTTTCTTGAACTCAGAGTCTCAGCAGGTACGTTCATGTCACGTTTCAGCTTTCCATGCTTATCCATTTGACTGAAGCAAAAAAAAATAATTGAAAACATCTCCCCCAGAAATTTGTGCCCCCAGGGCAATTACCTCCAAAGTTGGAATTTTTATTAATTTAGGTTCCCAATAGGTACTTATGTATCAAGTTTCAACTCTCTATTTCTAGCCAATTCGGTAGGACTAAAAAATATTTTTTTAAACCCCCAAAAATTATGCCCTTGGGGTATGCATCTGGAACTTGAAATTTTGCATGAACTTTGTGTCCCAGTAGGCACGTCCATGCCAAGTTTCAGCTTTCCATGTCTCTCCATTTCACTGAAACAAATATATATAATTGAAAACATCTCCCCCCAAAATGGGTGCCCCCAGGGTATGTACCCCCAAAGTCGGATTTTTTCTGGACTCTGCATCCCAAAAGGTATGTTTACCAAGTTTCAGATTTCTAATTTCTATAGAACATGGTTAAAATTAGCGCCAGTCAGTCACGATCGTCTGTATATATTTGATTTAGATACAACAGAGGACGCGTACTCAGCATTCTCAGAATTCTTCTTTCCTCGAACACCCTGTCATGAATATATTCGGAATTTCACAATAACTTCAGGAATCAAACTATAGTTGTCCATACGCCACAGAACAGCAAACTCTTGAAACTCATTAAAAATTTGCTGCTAAACCTAACTTTCTTTCTTTGCATATGTGGAGAAGTTAAAAAAACCACCAACCTGTCATTGGGAATGGTGATCTTGTTCGCATGGCCAGTTGAATTATCCACTGCAGATACATTAAAGTTCCTATTGGCATCGATGTCAAAGGTCACTTCAATCTGTGGGACCCCTCTTGGAGCAGGTGGAATGCCAGACAACTCAAATTTCCCCAAAAGGTTCTTGAGAAAGAAAGACCACAATTCCACCAATGCTTCAAAAAAAGGCAAAACCTCTGTTATGTGATTTTATTCAGTCATCCAAGAAGGGTTTCAACAGTCATGAAGCAAGATCGAGCCACTCAGGTGGAGACTGTGAACAACCACTGTCGTTTTCATCATATAGAGGATGATTTAAAAAAAATAGCTATACCGTATTCTATGTGAGAAACACAGTTTCAAAAATGCAACAAAAATATTTCAATTTCTCACGCGATTGATATTGGACAGTTACATGGTGTTGAAATGCATGCCAACTTGTTTTCAGCAATCCTGCCTGAATTTTGCAATGCTCGTTTAGAGGGGAATTAGAGGTGATGAGAGGTGGATCATTCCACCTCAATTGAGGTAATGTGCATTGCTGGACCATCTCAGAATTCAATTAGATTTGGCAACTGGTCGGAGTTTTTTCAGAATAGCCTGCAGACAAAAGTATGTCTGTTTGAGCCTAGACCAAGAAAAGTGAGTTTTAATTTCATGAGGTTGGTGGTTGAGGGGTAGGGGCACAAATTGGCCCCCAAACCCCAGATGCTAAAGGAGGATGCCCAATTTAATGTTATTTTGGCCCTAAAAACGAATTCAATATCATTTGAAAGTGTGTCCTTTGCAGAGTAATAAAATACCAATTTTACTCCAATCTGAAGGGTTTTGAAAGAGTCAGGTTAGGTTAGATTAGGTTAGGGAAGGTTATGAGGAAGTTATTTTGCATGAGTTTTCCATCAGAACACATACATTCAACAGTTTTGAAGGAAGAAAAATGCAGACTACCGCGAAAAATAAACGCAATTAAAATACAATTGAATTGTATTTTGTAAAGTCTTGCAATGTGTACAGCAGATGAATCATTAACTTTGATATAATAAATTATACAAATTTTTCCCTGGATTTTCCAATTCCCAGCTAAAGTTCATCGATTACATCCAAAATGATTTTTTTTCCAAAGTTACTGGCTGCGCAGAAGGCATTTATTGGAAGTCCCATTTGAAAATAGGGTCATTCTGTGACAAAACGACAACAAAATTCACAAATTAACACCCGACCATCTCATAATTTGACGAAAATTTTTCATTCAAGGTTATGTCTGAAAACTCGGAAGTGTAAAATGTCAGCTCCATCGGGTCGATAGGTCCGATGCTACAACGTTTTTAAAATGTAGGGTCACCTTCTAACCTCCGATTTTGATATCCTTGTAACTCAAAAACTATTCGTACTTGACTAAGGTCAGATTCACTGGAAATTGCGTGAAATATTCAAAATGTGTATTAAAATATCACTTAAATCAAAAACACACAATGTCATTTATGGTTAAAAAAAAAAGTTGACCTTTGAACTTAGCATATACCCCCAAAATTAAATTCTAAAAAAAAACATGAAAAGGTGAATTACTCTGCTACTAATTTGCAAAATTACAGAGAGCTAATATATTTTGTATTCCGTCAATAAATTTTTTTTATCAGAAAACCTTTGCCACAATTGAGGCTGGTGCGACTGATTTCGTTGTAAAACATCATGCATGATGACCTCCCTGAGATATGATGGCATTCCATATTTTAGACCTCTAGCCCAAGAGGTTTAGAAGAATTTGAACGTCAAATTAGCCATCTGAGAGAAAAGTCAACACAATTAATCTACGGGGTGTAACATAAGTCTTAAAGCTCTATCCTGAAAAGGTCAATGGCTCCGCTACTGATATGCAAAATTACGGAGAAGTAATACGTTTAGTATTCCGTCCATACATTTTTGAGCCGGAAGATCCTTACTACATATGAGGCATTCTGGCCATCCTTGGCATGGGAATCTTGGTGACAACCAGGCAAACTCCGGCAGAGACCAGTGAACAGCTGTAGTTGAATTATCCCACATTGTTAAAATTATGAAATTTCTCCAAATCCCAACATTCTTTTTCTGGCATTTTTTCTTACAGGAGGTAGACGCCTGAGTAAAATGTATGAGTTATACCAATAATATATTAATTTGACAGTAAAATATTATCAGTAAAATATATTTACACTTATCGAGAAAGATACTTCAGCAGCTAAAACCTTACCATGTGAATGCAGCCTCCAACTCCCGAAATCTATTGTTACAGATTCAAGTTCCTGGGAGATAGTGGAATCATTTCACGCCACTTGAGGAGGGCAAACCAATATCGTTAGGTGTATTCGCCTATCGGTGCAAAATCGTTAAGAACACGACGGTGCAATAATTTTCCTTCGTTTAGGATTCAGCACCATGCAGTATTCAAGTAATTTTCTCTAGATTTCAACAATTTACAATAGACTAAACCTGGGGAATTGATTCACGGCGTTGGTCTACTCTTCTCCAGATAAATGTTCTATATAATGCTTAAAATATTACTTCTCGGTAATTTTGCTTATCAATAGGAGAGTCATTGACCTTTTCATGGTATTTTTTTAGATTTTAATTTTTGCAGGTTCATGGTAAGTTCAATTTCAACGTATCGGGATCTCAATGCGTTACCGCGATTCCCACTTAGTGAAAATTAAGAAAATCCGTTGTTCGGAAACAAGGATATCTACGGAAAGGGAAAACCTGTAAAATCTATCAATAGTTAAGCTTATTCTCAGCTTTCATTTGAGTCCAATTTTTTTTCCTGCTCAACTAGGGGCAAAGATAGCCGTCTGACCATCAGGGTGTCTTTTCCCCTTAGGGAAGGACTTTTGGGGCTCAAACCATTTTGAAACCAATTTGGCTGGAACTTTGAAATTTTGTATGCCTTCTTATCTCAGAGAGTTCACCATGCATGAACTTCGCAACGAAATCCCAGTAGCACACGCAACCACGATTTTGATTACTTGAGCCGGAATGCCTCATTTGAGGCAGAGATCTTGATTAAAAAAATTATTGATGGAATGAAAAAAATAGTACCTCTCTGTAATTTTGCAAATTAGTAGCAGAGTAATTTACCTTCTCATGGTATTTTTTTAGAATTTAATTTTTAGTGGTTCATGCAAAATTCAAAGGTCAAACTTTTTGTCAATAAATAACTATGTTTTTGATTTTAGTGATATTTTAATACACATTTTGAATATTTCACGCAATTTCCAGTGAATTCCACCTTAGTCAATGTTCTAATACGAAGCTTTTGAGCTACAAGGATATCAAAATCGGAGGTTAGAAGGTGATCCTACATTTTGACCACCCTGTAGCATCTGACCTAATGGGGCTGAAATTTTACACTTCTGAGTTTTCGGACATTACATGAAAATTTAATCAAAATCAAAGATGGTCGGGTGTTACCCATTGGTTGATTTGTCATGCCCAACAGTGAAATAATTTAACCTAACCTAACTTGTTGAAACCCTTCACATTTGGATAAAATTATACGATTCATGTTCACAAGTGAAACCGATTACATAAATATTAATTTCATAAAAATTGGTTTAATGCCAAAATTGGGTTAACCAAGCCTTAACCTAACCTAACTTTTTCAAATTACTCACGTTTGGAAGAAAAAAAAAATACATTTTTAGGTTTGGCTATGGACGCCCTCTCGCAATATACAAATATCTTTGAAATTGCTTTAAGGGCCGAAAATGGGCATACTCCTTTATGACTACGCGTTTATTATAATGTCACCACCATATTTTGATTGGCTACAACTTTTCAAGCTGGATGTAGCTGATACTTGACAGAGGTTCATCAGGTCTTTCTTCACATCTGCAAGATGGCGCTGTATAGCGATAGAAGGGGTTCTTGTTGACCGGTGGGCCCGTTGTATTTGTGCAATGCTACTAATTACATGGAAAAAAAAAAATTTTTTTGAACCTAACAAAGAACCTCTCTACCAAATATCAGTTGTATCTGAGCCCTTTCAAGGGACTTTGTCTTGAAGTAAATTTAAGAAATATGAATTTTGTCAAAATCCGCTTAAAGCCAAAAACTGAGAAAACTACTCTAATATTATTTTGAGATGATGGAGCATAGACAAATTCTGCCTTTGAGGTGCAATGATCCACCTGTAAACTTTGTGACGGGACGATTCACAACTCAGAGAATTGTTCTGAGAAAAATCCAGACAATCTAATCAACACATCCCCAATGTCCAATATCTAGAGTTAATGAATTTCATGTTTTTACTTGAATACACTCATGACTCATGCTTTCTCCCGTTTAAAACGGTGGGGTGTTTTTTTTCTTAAAAAAACTCTCGGTCTCCCGGTCAGCAGCAGCGCCCTCTATCGGCATACAGCTCTATCTTGTGAATGTGAAAAAACCTCATATACTCATAAATCTCTCAGTCAAGTCACTGAGGGCTCTAAGATGGCGACTGCGTAAGGAGCGCCAAGTGAAGTGTCTGGAAAGAGTTCACGTGTTTCACCCTCATTCTTCCAGCAATCTCAGTGTGGTCAAGTGAAGTGTAGTTTCAGAAGGGAGAAGGATACCCTGCAGAAAGTGCCACCCACCCAACGGTGAGAACTGTCGTGCTTGGTCCGGGCATCAAAAAACAGATCAACCTGAAGTTCACGTGTTTCAGCCTCATTCTTCTAGCAATCTCAGTGTGGTCAAGTGAAGTGTAGTCTCAGAAGGGAGAAGGATACCCTGCAGAAAGTGCCACCCAGCCAACGGTGAGAACTGTCGTGCTTGGTCCGGGCATCAAATAACAGATCAACCTGTCTGTGCCGTATGAACCCGGCATGACCTTCTGAAGGGGCAACATCTATCCCACAATCTCGGACGTGAATGGTCTATGTGAACTACGATAGAGGACCTATAGTATCACTGGCAGCACTTATTAATAGCCAACGAAGGTCAATTCGACTGGGACGACTATCAGACTCTTGAAGAACCTACACCTTTGCTCGTGAAAGCAGCAAGAATGGCTAAAGCGAAGAAACAGGAAGATATTCTGAACGATCTCCTGAAAGAAGTGAAGGCCATCAGAACGGAG